GAAAGGCAAATTCGGAGGGTGCCGATATCTTTTTTGTCTCAAGTTATGGAACGCAAAAACGGCAGCGGCGGAAGGAACGTTTTTCCCAACTGTCGATGGCCATATGTTTAACTCACACTCGTCCCTTTGTGGTTGCTTTTATGTTATTTTCAATTTAATCAATTACTCCGGGGACACAATCAGCAGGTCGCAATGTAATTAAATATTTTAAGCCCGCTTATGTCTTTTTTTTTTTTTATACAGAAGTCGCCAAACTCATGACCCAGGTCGATTTTTGATGAATTTGAGGGGTTGCTATCTGGAACTTCCTTAAGTTATATTTATAATTTTAATGTCCATGGATAGCTCTTAGGTGCTCTTTATAAATATATTAGAATGATTTAGTTGTATACATTATCTCTTGCAGTATCATTACATGAAAATCTTAAAACCGGTGGAAGTATTAAAGGGATACCTCAACGAAATATGAAATATTCCCGTCGTGTTCAAAAATAGGCTGAATATGATCCACAATATCAGTAAATGACAATCGCACGTTTGTATTTTGAGCCTGGTGGCTGCATTTTTTGTTATAAACGGCCCATTCCGGCAAGCGCTTGGAGAAGGCCCAGCCGAGACCACGTGACATCCAACGCAATCGTGACGTAGGTCGTCTCGGGACGAGCAAAGCTACGGCGAGGCTGACGTCGAGAGGATGGCCCAGTCGTTCCAGCCACCGAAGCGGCTGCTTTTGTACGAATTTTGATTAACGGGTTAATTTTCTTTAATCTTGTAGGGGCACGATAGCGACTTCTGCGACACACAAAAGGCATTCTCGGGAAGAGGGGAGTTCCTCCTTCCCCTCTTCTCTCGTCGTGGCCGGAGGCAAGACAACCTCCGTCACTAGCTGTCAAGGTTCCTAGACGGGCATTACAAGCGAGGCGTTAGCGCCATTCACCAAGTGCTCTTTGCTAATCGTTTAATTCGTTTTAAAATTCCTTTTCGTGACTTTTTTAACAAGATATTGGTATGTTCGATGTGATGCTGCTCCTTTGAACACACAGAGACCAAAAAAATGAGCGCCGAAATTTCATTGTAGTATCCCCTTAAATTAAAAAAAAAAAATATTTATCTTTTATGTTTTTGCTGCGTTTTTATAGCGAAGATCGTTTTCCTCGTGAACGGAGCAAGGAAGAGAGTTAATAGGCGCGCTGTTCGACACTCCAGCAAAGCATGATCGCGTTGAATTTGCTCGCGTACGTCGGCTGGTGCTCGCGTCGGTGCACATTGATACTGAAGGAAAACATCGAGCGCCGATTTGCGTCTGACCTCTCACGTATATACGTATGAACTTAATAGATGTTTCTAAATTAGAATGGAACAAACGTGTGGCTGCGGAAAGATATCGTGACTTGCGGAAAATACGTAACTCGGTTTCACACTTTGCATATATTGACGGCTTAGCTCAGTTTGAGATGTTTAGCCGGCCAACGGCTCCGCGTCCTGCTCGTCAGCTTGCTTTTGTTTGTAATTTATTCTTACTCCAATGCTGTTTATGGCAAGGCTTCCGTGATTTTTTGTGTGCGTGACCAAAAACTCTACGCTTGCACAGCTGCACGCGCCGCACGCGCACGCCTTCCCGGTATAAAGATTCGAAGCAAATCACGAAAATAATGCCTTCACGAACGCGCGTGCAACATGCTATTTGTTTTAGGCTTTTGCTTTAGAACAGTTATTGCTGCAGACGCCGGCACGTCCGACGCATGGAACACCAATACCTGCATTCTCCTTAATGCTCGTGTAATTTAATAATTGGTCTATTCAGTAGATTAGTTATCAATAGGCACCATTTTTGAGATCCGTAGACTTTCAGCAACGTTACTAGAACTCTCAGGAAACTCACTATTGAAGCCTAGGCCGCTGGTGTCCACCGATACCGAGGTAAATGCGATAAAAGCGCCACATTTAATCTTTTTTTTTTTGGTACTGTGGTCACTTTCAGCTTTCTGAAAGCATGTTGCTGCTTAAAAACAAACAGAACGAACACTTTTTCTAACATTTATCCAAGATTAGCACAAAATAACAGGCGCGTGTTGTTTTCTCAAATATTTAGTTTACAATTTTTTGCGGCACAATTAATATTGATTTTATAGAACCATGTCTCATCGGTGATTTCCGGTAGCACGTCCCGACCTGGGCGAGTCCTATTTTCGGAAGTAATTCGCGGCGCGTCCGCTTGGGAGGCGGGGGTTGGCCTCCCTGAAACCCCTTCTACCGTACATGTTTCGGCGCCAAAATAGCCCATTAAAGCCAAATTAGAATAGTCATATCGGACCCTATCGAATGCGATGCTCCCGAACCAATGCAAGCAAACGTGAAGTTCCTCGAGTGGCCGCTGCGGCGGCTTTGCGATCGCCATTAGCTCGGCGGCGTTGCGATCGCCATTAGCTCAGTTCTCGAATACGGATCGGTGCCACGTTTTCAAAGCAGTTTTCCAACTCAGTGGTTCTAGTACCGTTGACTCTTATGTATATATTTAACGTTTCTCAAAGATTTGCGGCTCTGCGAACCACGTCAGCCATGTCTAAGCTCGCACCGCCCACTCTTTGACGTCGTTTTAAGCGCGCCTAGTTTCCTTTCCTTCCGCTCTCTCGGGGTGGCGGTCCTGTCACGTGTGTCTACTTTCCGCCGCGTGGCCGTCCCGTCGCGCGTGCCTCGTTTTTTAATAAATAAAACCTTGAGACAAGTAATCAAAAGGGACATACACACCACCGTCTCTTCTTGAGACGATGGTTTGTATATCTCTTTAGTTTCCTTGTCTCATGTTTTTATTTATTAATTATGATCGCACACCAACTCGCCTGCGTTTTGACTCTTATTTCAGTGTCTAATTTTCTCCGGCTCCTCGGGGCGGGAATGCGTCGTGTGATAAACAGCTTCACTGGTCATCTACCTTCACAGAGTAGAATGGCTCACGGTCTTTTCTCTTGTTTTTATCATGTGTGTTTTAGCATTGCACATGTGTCGTGCTATCTGGGCAGCGCAAGCATCTCGTGCTCGCGCCCAATGTACTTTTGTAAGAAACAATTAAATCTCTCTCCATCAGCCGAACGTCCCAGATCCGTTTTCTCTTCACCCGCTCGTAGGGGGAAAGCGTTCCGGAATAGAGGCCAACGTATGACTGTCGCTGGAAAAGTCCGGCCTAACAATACCTTGGACACGCTCTTGTCATCTGACCTGAAGTCTGCAAATTCACAGAGTCCGCACACTTTGATCCTCTTCGACGGGATCGTCCTCGCCGGGACGCCGTACCGAGGAACGAAACCAATCACTTTCCCTATTCGGTGTGCGTCGGAGGATCACCAATTATTTCACGTTACTGCAGAATCCAGAATGTAAGGCAATATGGCCATACCGGTGAAGCGAAATCCGCGCGGAAGAACAACCGCTGTGATTTCCGCAGCCGCTCACACAGCAAAGCCCTATCACAGCAATAGGCGACGCCAGACACTTTTGTTTCGCCACCCAGCCGCCCTGAATGCCCTCTGCGTCTGCTCGTGATCGCACGGAGCAAAAACAAATGTGCGATGTAACGTGAAAAAAAAAAATTGATTTTGCTGACACGTGACCCGTGTCACTCGAACACTCGGTGGGCGTTTACAAAATCTTGTTGATGTTTACGTTCTCCTTGTTTACGTGCTCTTTTTTTTTTCTTACTAGGCTTCAAACGAATTACGTGATGCCCTTTCCATGTCTTCTAACCTTCTTGTATTATCCTACTACGCTTCTATCTTCTCGGACCTTGGACCAGCATGGCAGCTGGGGATCTGTTTGGGACCGAAGGTTGTCGTGGCGTGCAATGTGTCGCGAATGTAAGACAAGCGGACGATTTGGGCACAGGTTATGTTGTTGTTGTTGTTTTTTTTTTTCACTTATTATTGTGTGTGCGGAGGCCTGAATTGAGGTGGATGCCACGGCGAGCTTGGGAGGGACGACAGCAACTAGGGCGTTGGAAGGCGGAATAAAATTAGAACCGAGGCGTCTTAGTTGCAGTGTTTTGTTGTATTCGTCGAACTTTGTCGCAGTGCCTGCACGGTAAATAAAAGGCCTTGTGTATTATGTGCCTTTATCTACGTGTCACCTCAAATTCAATTTTTTTTTCTATATAAAACAGTTGGGTATTTCACTTACACCGCCTCGGTCTCGTTCCTGTCGCTTCAGAGTAAATCCACCACTATGAAGTTGACCAAAAGATTTACCGATATATTTTAAAAACTCCAAAGACGCAAATGCTCGACAAGGTGCCTGATTTTCTATCGAAATACGAACACGCATTCCATTATACTGGGGTTTAATAGAGGTCATACAAAAGAATAATAACATTTATGAACTATGATTCTTCTTCAAAAAAATATTTTCTTCGAAAACCCCCCAAAAATAATTTGTTTTAAAAACATTACTTTTAAACTTGCAACTTTCTCAATTTTCGGCATTATTCAGTTAGGATATTGCAGGAGATGATGCACACAACTGAACGATATAAATATATTTATAAAGCTCCTTCGGGGTTTCCAGGCATATGAAAATTATAAGTATAACTTAAGAAGTTCGCAGATATCAACCTTTCAATGTACACTCAAAATAGACATAGAAGGTAAGTTTGACGGCTTTAATAAAACAATAGAACACCTAAAATATAATAAATTAATCATATTAAAACACTTTCAGTGTCCGCATAAGCCATGAAAGTAGACGTGAGTGTAACATTCTACCCTCGACAGTCGGGAAAAAAGCTAATTTCCATCGCGGGCGTTTTTGTGCTCCATAATTGGAGACCCAAAAGTTAATCCAACCAGCGGTTTTCACTTTTCTTCTAGGTATAACTTTTAGCGCAACATATATGTTTTTTACAAAAACTTGAAATCTGACTCTTTCTTCTTGCACGATTCGAGATGAAATCACGCATGTATTGATTGCTAGGTAACTCCGAATACTGAAATAATTGCATTGCTGCCTCTTACAGATAAGGCCTTTATTCCAGGGACGTCAGGATGTAGCTTCTTGCATAAATCTGTCATGTCCAGTCCTACGCCCGGAAGTTGGCCAGGTGCTTGGAAGGCTTTCTTCGACTTCACTTCGAAACATCCTTCACTGTGATGTCTGAAAATATTCGAACGTTTATGAGCATTAATTGTAAAAATCAGCATACGCAAACTACATAATGCTTATGGGTGGTCTAACGATTCATAGTAAAATTATGTTAATCTTATTGAAAAAATTCGAAAACAAAATGTGCCGCGTATATTGAAATCAGCTTCGTTTCTATTTGCCAGTGTTTCTAAGCCAGGGAGACACGAAACAGGTAATTTTTCTCCCAAATGTTTCCGTAACATGAAGGTTTCTTTAAACATACTCTGTTGCCACTCGTGGGTGTTCGCACGATTGTTTACTATAAAAAGTAGTGCGCGTGCAGGCGAGCTAGTGAAAATTGATTACAATGAAAAACTCGAGAGTGTGCTGCTCAAAAATTAGGTAACTTTCTAGTCTAAGGAAAATACAACATATGAGTAGGACTCTGCATGTACATAGGCGTCTATGACGACCCGTCGCCGGATGCAACCATGTGATCGCTTGATAAGGACATGTGATTGTCTACTCAAGCTTGTTGCGCGTATGTAGAAGTCGTAAGAGGTTACGCTTCCGTCGTTCAGCCAGTGAGGCTGAACGACGAGCATTGGGCTGCAAATCGAGAGGTCTTCGATTTGGTTCGTATAGTTAGATGGTTACATTTTTATTTTTAATTGATTAGTTATCGGTACACTTACAAATGCTTATGTTAGTGATGTATATTGTGATGGCAAAAGTATGGCAGCTTTTTTATGACTTGCTACGTATACACTGCTTGTGAAATGAGCTCGTTTTTTAGAGCGCAGCTCTTAGGCGCCCGTTTCCAGCTTGAGCGGCGCCGCCGTCGCCGTCGGCGTAACTGCGCGGCGCATTATGGGTAAATTTCCCCGCTAAATCTAGCGGAACAATTTCCCTGCTAAATTTAACAGAAAAATTTCCCACTAGATCTAGTGGAAAATTCGCCTGCTAAATCTAGCGGAAAAATTTCCCCGCTAAATCTAGCGGGAAAGTTTCACCGCTAAATCTAGCGGGAAAATTTCGGTCACGTGACCTGGGGAGTCACGTGACACCCCGAGGTCACGTGACCTCAGAGGGCGGGCACGTGACTTCCCCCACGTGACCCCACCAAGGTCACGTGCCCTTGGGGGGTCACGTGACCCCCCGCCTAAGAACACGTGGCCCCCAGTACCCTTCCCTCCTCCTCCTCAAGAGCTGAGCTCAAATTCGGTGTTACAGGGAGTTGTAAACGGCTTTCACTTTTTTTATTTTCTATGCTAATGTAATAAAGGATATCTGGCGCGCCAAAATAGATGCTTGAGGAACAACTTGGACCAACTGAAAATTTTGTGACTCGTTTTTGGCCTACGAAAGTCGCCTGTACCAAAATCTTGGCTACACGGCTCCTTCTTCCGCAGTAAGCATCTATCAGATTGCGGGCACCTCGGCCGGGAATTAAACCAGCCACCTGGAGTACCCAAGATCGGCGCTTTGTTTCGGAGCCATCGAGGTGGCAAAGCATTTGAAATAGCTCCAGGGGACATAGATATTTGTTACATGCATTTATATTGACCGTCCGGATTGTTGTTTTTCTGTTAAGCCAATACCCAGCCTCGTTCGCGTATAAACGTAATGAAATCCTTCGCCCCTTTGCGTAAAACGATTGTAACGTTTTACTGTCTAGCATTTATTGATGTGGTATACCCAAACCAACTGCTTCGTGGGGATTTCTTTGACCTCCCTTCCCCGATGGCTGTGAGAAAGGGCGCGGGTCGGAACGCTCGACCTCCTTCGCTATGAGCTCCGACTGGTTCGTGGGATCTCTCACTCTTTTCCGGATGGGAATGACTGCTGACACGAGAGGAGGTTTCGTCTTTTCTTTTACCGCTCTCGGGAGGGGGACTCGTCCGGCGACATCAAAAGGGGAAGCATTTCGGTGACCTCCCCGATACTTATAAGTTATTTGATCTCTCGCTTTCCGGAACATCGTGCCGGGCAAGTGAGGACCTTGTCTTACCTTGCCGGCGCGGGGGGAGTTCCGCATGGAGAAATAGTTCAGTGCATTTAAGAGTGTCCATTAAACGCTCTGGAACTCTGCCCTTACTCTGATACCTGTGTCTTTTCTTCCGCAAATGAGGACGAGATCAGACCGTGGCGCCCCGATCGGCTAACTTTAGAACTACGCGGATGGGGACAACAAATAACAATCACTCAGACGTCACCTAACCGAACGCCGAGTCAGCGTTCGGCTGGAGTTGGTGTTCTCCGGTCGCCCGGGGGGAGGCTCTTTTGTTACCCCTCCAGCCTGCATCAACAATGCAGGGTGCGTATGCCCAGCACAAAAGCCGGGTCAAGCTCGCATTCTCTGACGACTGTTTTCGGGAGAGATCTGGCACTAAGAATAAGCGTCAGTTCGTTTATTGTTAATACTTTTACGTTAAGACGTGAACATGCCCACAAAGCCTGTGGGCATGCCCACAGACCATTTCTTTGCTAAACACCAAGGTGTCGAGACAACAAACGAGTCAGAGCACCAGTTCGATCTCCTAGCCAATATTCAAGAGTGAGACAAGGACGTCGATCATCGGCATCGACGGAGAAATTGATCGAAACGACCCACGGTAATCGCGACCTGTTTCCACATTTGCTAGTTCGTGGCTGCATTTTTATCATTCTGGGCGACTGTACGTAATTTTATTTCACTTTCTTAGTTATTTTAGATATTAACCGAAATGTGAGTGGGCCTTGACTAATCAACGTATGTTGGCAATTCACCCAAGCGTATTTTATGCACCCTTGTAGAGACGAAAATATTCCTTATTGGAATTTAAGTAAAAGTTTAATTTGTGCTTTACTTTTACTATGATTTTCAATGTAATTAGTATTGCAAAGTAACATGAGTACTGAATCAACGTAATTCCTTGGAAGCACATTCCTACATTCGTTCCTCAAGTTCCTTCTTTACGAGATGCCTATTTTCTAAACATTTCACATCATGTCAAATATGGTTGGGATACGTAAAGTCAAGAAAGCTTAATTAACTCGCTACCAATTGTTATAAATAGATCTGCATTTTTCGTGCTCTCTTGCTCTAACTGGACTGTGGCCATAAGTGGGCGGGAGATTCTTTTCACCACTTAAGCTATGTCTGTAATTAGAGCGCTGTAGAATGAGAAGTGAGCGCTTAAGTGATATCTTTATCATAGCGCCGTAAAATGACTCGTGTATTTCAAAAACGCAAGTATTATAATCTGCTTCACCTTCACGTGGAAATATTTTTGACCTCAACAGCACGTTTCATCGCGGTTAAGTTACATTTAAGGGGCTGATAACTACAGCCTGTAAAACTAATGTTTTATATGATCTGTGTTTACCAGGGTTATCGGAAGAGTGGAATTCCAGTCCTGCACTAACGACATATACGGAAACCACAGACACTTAAGAACGCTGTACCAACACTATTGTTACTTTCTCTACTAACTGCACATTGATTGTAACCTTTCCACATTGATTGTAACCAATACAGTCAATTTACGGAGCCGACTAAAGCTAATTGCATTTTCTATATACCAGAAACGTGCTCTTTCCCATATGGTATTTAGTATCTCTAAATTCTAAATAGCGACTGAGAAAATGACAACTAAAGACGGTGCAAAAACATTAAAAAACATTTCCAACTCTCAGTGGCATGAAGTCACTGGTAGGCTTGAACTCGTTGTATAGCAACAGAGTATGTTGAGAATAGTTTTTCATACTGCTGAGCAGGTGATGGAGTGAGCTTCCACAGCATTACTTACACAATAATAAATTAATTTTAATCGGGCGGGAACTATTTCTCCCATCTAGACAGGGTACCAATTCCTGCCGTTTATTTCACACGTTCAGAGTTACAAGAAGAGACGTTCAGTTTGAAGAAAAAGGTGAGAATCAAGATTAAAAGTTTAAATGCAAACACTTCGCAAAAAAAAAAAAAGCGTTCTGTCATATCTTTACAGTTACTAGCAGCCAAACCTACTGGTTTGTTAAGCCGATTTTATTTCATATTAAAATAAGAAAACAAATCGTGAACCTGAAGAGATATCAGCATGTACTATAATAACTTGAACAAACTAGAAGGTAAAGTACTAGACTTAGGTGACCTTTGTCTTTGCATTTAACGCTGCCTTTTCTTTTACGATAACTAATATAAAAGGTAGTCAAGATTTGTCTTTTAATAACTACCTTTTCTCAGCTTCGCGCGTCCACAACCGTCTATAGGCTGTTTTCAGATAAGTCTGCCCGATCATGCCCGGTTGTAATCTTGCATTTTAGTAAAATGAACAAATATATATATTTGGTTGATTCAATACCGAGAAAAACAAAAACAAATTTTGTCTTGCGAAAAAAATTAGATTTCATCTCGGAAAAAAAATTAAAACACAGTCAGACCGAAGCGGTTTTTGCGGATTTGGGAAATTTGCCATTTCGGGCACATCCCCCGAAACAACTGCTGCGGCTACGGGTCTAGAGATAATTAATAACAAAGTACGCTTAGAGGAGATTGACTGAAATTAGTTACCGTGGAGTATTGGCGCTCTTAGTTAGCAAAATATAATCGCAAACACGGCACAATACGCAATATTGCGAATGTTTTGTTTTTTCGCGTGTATAATGCTAGGATTTTCAAACGCTGCCAGCGTGTTGCCATATATTTCTTTTTAATCGCTGCGCTAAATATTGGTTTCCTGGTGAACGGTAAGAGAATAACAAACTCTGAAATGGCGCCATTTTACTAAATGCGGATTATTTTAAAAGTCATACAAAAATATGTTTTAACTCTTATATGATATGTATGTACTAACAGAACCTTCAAAAGCATGTCGCCTCAGTTTTCTGACTTTGAAGTTATAAAGTGAGAAATCGGAGCCAATTGAGGTTACCGCAGTACCGCGAATAAGGCGTGTGCATACCTTTAGTTGACGTGTCAATTATTATTACAGGGCGTAAAAATGCACCGGGGTTGTCAGAGGGAAACACATTGACGCACACATACAGACGGTGATTGTTAAAAGGATAATTCTGAGCGCGTTTTAGTAATAGATTCGAAAATAAAAATGAGCATGGGCGAGAGCAATCCAAAGAGGTTATCATGTCGCATACTTCGCAGGCCCTGCTTTTAACGGGCAGTGAGTAACGTGCTACTAAATAGATTCCCTGTGTACGTCACGTAAGAAGTCTGGTGGTTTGCCACGACTTTGCACGCGAGTCAGACCACTGACCCGGCGACACTCTGCAGCGCGCAGAGGCTGTCCACCGACACCCGAGGCCACCGGCTCCGTGCTGGAATAAGCTCCTCCTTTTGCACTGTTCAAATTTGGAATGACGCTGTGCTATACGATTTTAAGCTGTATTCCTACACCCCAGCTTCTGTTCATTTTGCGCTGACTTTTGACATTCTATGTTATACTCCCCGCGTCTAACACAAGATTGAAGTGATGATTGTGTTTAAAATATATCTATACATCGTTTGACATAAGGTCATAGCATAGCCGACGCCACGAGTCTAGAGGGGCAATTAAACAACGCTAGAAGTGCACGCCGTCACGTCACGCCGTTCTTTCCCTTTTTGCACGTCACGCCGTTCTTTCCCTTTTTGTGCGATATCCTTCCCGGCTCAAGTAATCGAGTTCGGCGACTTCGCATCAACTTACGGGTTAAGTATACGCGTCTGTGGTTTAATGTATTCTGGCGTTTGACTGCGCTCTGACCTGAGACTAAATAAAGTATAGATAGAAGGCTACATTTTGCGAAATCTAGACAGAGACAAAAAACAAAATCAAGTGGCGTACACTTTGTAGTAAAGGTTGACATCTGTGCTAGTTTGTAGTGTAACATATTTAAGTATATAGCGGACAAAGTAGAGAGAAGAACAGGACAGAGAAGGCGCTCTTTTCCTGTCCGGTTCTTCTTCTATCTGCGTTGTGCGCTAAATACCTTAAAATGCGTACACATTGTTTTGAATATTTTTGATCCGCTGCCTTAATGTTTGTGATAGTTTTTGCACTTAGATTTTATTTTATTTTTAAGCGAAGGCAGTTTTGAGAACGTAGAAAAACAAATACTCTGAAACCTATCCAAATAAGAGGAACGTTACTTACCGTAGAAGAACCCTCATGTGTTGCAGGGAACAGTGGGAAAAAAAACCTTCATTTTCGGTGAGAAGTGAAGGTGCCATGAGATATCCCGACGTCGCCGAGCATCGTTCCCATGTCACGTTTGGAAAGTCGTAGTCAGGAATGTTCCCATCGTGAGGCATTCCGAGTCTGTGAATGACAAATGCCGCTGAGGACTATGGAGTGTGAACAACACAAAATGCACACTCTCACAAAGAGATGCATCCCGGGAAGAATCAGTGAGTAAATACATTTCCGCATTTCTATCGCACCAAAACATAGAAGTTTTATATATTCAAAGCAGATAGTCATTGCTCTATTCTCATTAAGCTTCAAGACGGCTGTGTTTACGCCGTGGTGCATAGCTAAAATGTTATCTCTGTCACCTTAATTTCCTTTAAACTGTCGTATATATTTATATCTAACACATCGATATCAATCACGCACAATTAAAACAAACCTGTTTCACTTGACATTTCTCTCGTCCTTTTTCTGCGTATTGTCATCGTAGATCACATATCGCTTCCGGCCTGTTCCCTTTTCAGTGTTTGTGCGTTTCCACGTGATTCGCTCGCTTTCCCAAGCTACGAATAGGCGCGTGCTGAGCTGAGGACTTCGCACGCTGTGTTGAGTACTCGTAAATATTGGAATGGTGACAACGTACTAAGCAGGCGGCAGGGTTAAACGTTTCTAAAACCCAAGATGGAGGCCACAAAGAGGGGACAAACACAAGACGTGTATCGGCGGACCCGCAGTTTCCAAACAATCCCGCGCGAGGTGTGCGCAGTGCGCGTGCGCAGAACCCAGACTCGCGTGATGTGGAGCGACTGCACATGCGCCCTCACAATAGCAGTGCCACCGCAGCGCCGTGGTGTCAGCGTCCAGTGTTGGCGTATGGACTATTTTCATGGGAGACGCCCCCAGGCGGTGCTCCAGTCTTTGACGTCCCGAAGAACTTCAGGTTTACAAAAATAATGATCAAAACCCCCCTTAGCACCGCAGCTCGGAATGTCGACAAAACGTTAAACTGCCAGTTCTCAAAAAAAAGAAAACGCCAAAAATTGAAAATGCAGAGGTGTAAGACCCAGTAAAAGTTTTCGAATATTCTTGTACACCAACTTGCGTCCTCCGATATGTTAAATTGTGCACTCGAAGGCCCTGGTTAAATATTCTCGGACTTTGTTGTCCGTGTAGAAGTTATGCGTCCTTGCATTGGGAACGTGAGAGAGGTCGACAGGCTTGCAAAAGACGGAGCAAACGGAAGTCGCTTGGAACGTAAGCGGCAGTTTATGTTTGTCAACAACGAAAATGGTCTGTAGTCATTAACACGATGAGAAGGGTGGCCCCACCACTATTGGCAGATGCATCAACACTCGTCTCAGAGACCACTTTCTCGAAGTAAAATGAGTATCCAGTGACACTCTTCAGCCGATTGTGGACCAGAGCCGCATTTGTTCGAACTCTGAGCCGAAGCTATCGGGAAATACAAGGACAGACCTGAGAAGATAAATAATTTAATTCTGTAGGATGGCCGGTGATTATTTGACGCTTGCCTCGCCTTCTCTATGGTTATACAAGACAGAAATTAACTTTATGTGCCAGGTGTAAAAAAAAAACTTCCATCCCTTCTTATTTTTTTTTTTTATTTCTTCGAATACATGAAGGGAGAAAACGTGGAAAATGGGGACGAAAACACAACTTATTTTACTTAGCAACAGGGTAAAATACAAAAAAAAATAATCACCTCTAAAGATTTAAACGTGCTGGAAGGGGGAAAAAAAGGCAATTAGTGAAGGAAAGCAAAATTTACTATAAATTTGAGAGTTTTGAAAAAAAGCACAATTATCACGATGAGGTATTAGTAATGTGGCCATTTTTGGTTTTAAGAGTTTGACTTCTGTCTCTCAATGATAATAAAGGTGTAGAAATGTTTTTGTTGACATTCCCCATGACTAAATAAAAGAAGTTCTGTTGTTTTTCACCATCCTCTATGTTTTTCTCCTATCATGTATTCGCATCAAAATTCACCGACACGCTCGTTTTCAAGTAATATTTCCAAATCTTTCTTCCGTTCTTATTTCTTTTCATTTTCTTTCGATAACTGAGCAGTTCGCTAACATTCTTCTTTTTCTCTTCTGCCTTAACAGACTCCTATTTCTCCCGGGATTCTTCTTTTTCTGAAGGATTTTTTTCCTTTTCAGAGGAGTTTTGTGGGGCAGGGAAGAGAAGGGCTTACGGCAGCGAGGGTGGCATCATTAAATGTCTGTTGCTTCTTTAAAGGGACACTGACAGGGTATTTATGCTCGCCGAGGTTTTTAGTTCTACGTGACATATGAGAGCTCAACTACCCAGAACAGAATTTGCGGCTCGAAATTCGGTTTCTTTCCGCCCGAAAACCGCCGATCAAGAACTGGCCGGTTCGAGTCTCGCTCACTCTCTTTTTCGCGGTCACGGGCTGTTTTCTAAGGTATCGATGCGACCACCAAAATTAATCAAAGTCGTGGGTCACTGAAGGCACACACTCAATATTAAAAATAGAAAAAAAATATGAAACCCATTTTTTGTGACTTCTAAAAAGCTGTAAATACGTTGATTGAAAAAAAGTTCCACAGACAACCGGAAGCATTCTGTGCGTTCGTCGTTTCGCGTATCGTGGGACTCGCGGGGACGGTGATGGTAGCGGACGACGGGCGTGGAACCTCTATTTCAGAACTGTCGTTCGCGGTACCGGCGAATTCTGTCTACCGTTAAAAGAGAAATTTGGGACTGATCAAAAAAATTGGTATTCATCCTGTACGACACGCCCGGCCACCAAGCCGATTTGCACGAAGACGTCGCCGAGCCGTCGCTCCCTTCTCGTGGCTGAAGACATCGCTCGCGCAAACGTCAAGCACGACGTGTCTACTTCGAGTTGAATATGCACGCGTACGATTTTTTTACTAGGTGCGAATGTCGCCAAAGCGTGGTGCTTCCCAACTTCGACCCGGGAGTGCTTTTGCTAGAGAAAAATCGACAGGAAACTTTCCAACTTACCAGCTGAATTATTACTAAGAGATCCACCAGAAAAGAGATGCCCCAGTAGCTCAGTGCAATAGACGTCCGGTTTACACGCGGTACGACCGGGTTCGATCCCCAGTGAAACTTTTTTTTTTTTTCAAACATTTTTTGATGTTTACATATCTTTTTCTTTTTTTTTTTTTTACAATCATCACTGAAGAAACAAACAAATGTTGTGGACGATACTTCGCTGAATTAAATGGTATGGGATTTCCGTTTTGACACCTAATCACTTTCCACAAAATGCAAGGAACATATAAATGAGGTAGCGTCCGCTTACAGGAATTGCAGCCAACCTTTGGTCCCGATCCCGTTGATCTTTCGGAAACTCTGTCGCACAATGCAACTTTTTTTCGGATGCAGGACATGTGAGCCATCTTCACGCAACGGGTGTATTCTTTTCGGAGCCGATCATGGAAATTCACCAAGGGCACTTACTACTCATCTCCAACTCCTCAATGTACAAAACAACTCATCTTGGACTACAGAACAACGAGCGGAACAAACATAACTGCAAAAGAATCACACGGCGAGCAGTTTCCGCACGCCGCGTCGCACGCCGCATGTCGTGTCGTCTGCTACGGAGAAACGAAAAGAGAAAAAAAAAAAAAAAAGCACGGTCGCGTGTAGCCACGTGCCTTCCGCCACTCACTCTCTTCTCTCCACTTCTCCGACCTCCGTCGGGTTTCGGTTTCGGTTTCGAGCAGTTGCGTCTTTTGGCTTTATTAAAAAAATACGCTACTCTGTTGCAAAATATTAATTGGGTAGTCCTCCGACACCATAATAAAGCGCCTGGCAAAAAATAAAAAAAAAATTTTCGGGGGTGTCAGTGTCCCTTTAAAGAACTCTACTGCTCGTCCTCGTTCCTACATGTTTTATTCTTCAGTGTTTTTTTCAAATCCTCTTTGTCAACCCGCTCTTAGTTAATTTTCGTTTTGACGTTTCGTTTTGATGGTCTTCTATGATGTGCCTTCAGCTGGCTCAGATATGACATTATGTTTTGGATATTATTTTTATTTAACGATATTTTGGTTCAATATATTATAAATGTTATAATTTATATATATATATATATATATATATATATATATATATATATATATATATATATATATATATATATATATATATATATATATATATATAAACTCGGGAAATATTGTATCTACAATAGTTGTATTGCATAAAAATGATTGTCTTGACCTATTTATAATTGCTAAGTCCACAGATATTACTACGTGATTTTTATATTTTTTTCATAGAAGACTGTCTTATAGCAATATCGACTATGAGACTCACCGGTGCATTAAATTCGTTCGGTAGGGCAGTTTCTACATACCGTTTTAATTAACCTAAAGGTGGGTTCTCCAATACTCAATTTCATATAGAAAACAAGTAGAGAAACATTTAATATAAAATACCACTATTATTCTTAGTTAATAATTGTTCTTATGCATCATTCAGAAAACTCTGCTTGTAAAAGTGCTTTACCAGTGAACAGAACTCTAAGATAATATTTGTAAAAAGACTTACAAGTGTCCCATTTCGTGAGCAGCAACAGTTACCATATAGTATGTATGAGCGACATCTTCCACTATACAGGCGCGGGATAGTCCTCGGCAGAGTCCGTCAAGGTGTGCGAAACCTATGCGAAAAGGAGAAAAAGAAAACGCAGGTTTGCTTAAGTTTTTTTGCCATGTCTCCGAGACAAAACATATTTCAGCTATCATCTTAGTGGCGTGTAAGAAGAAATAGAGGGTGTTTTTTTTAAGCTTTACAGATCTGTTCAAAAAAGCTGTGAAAGTTACATTTACGCTGTATGTGCAGGTGAGTTATGCCAGGGGGACATAGTAAGGGGGGGGGGGGGGCTAATTCTAACAATCAGTCTTCTAATTAGGTATCGATTGTTAACTTTTTAAATGGTGAAATTAGACATAAGGTTCCAATCAGCATCTTGCTAAGCACGATCGGAAAATACTAAATCAACCCTTTGTGGAAGAAATAAGACAGGGGCAGCGCTTTACGGCGTTTTGAAAAAGCACTTAATATGAACGCGTTTCTAGATTGCGGTTTCTTATCGGAGCGCATCTTTGCACCCGCGGTCCTGCTTCCCAGTGGTCGCGGCGCGAAGCCACCCGCTCGCCTCCCTCGTAGAATGGGGGGAGGTTGGGCGCAAGTGTGTTGTGCGTCGCAGCCAGTGGAGAGCAGGAACGCGGGGCGCAGTGATGCGCTCATATAAGAAACCGAAACCTAGAAGTGCGTGCAAATGGAGCGTTTTTATGGAACGCCGTAATATGCTGCCCCTGCGTTATACCCTTCTAAAAAGAGTTGGTTTAGTTGTTTTCGATGATGCTCAGAGAGTTTCTAAGTAGAACCTAATTAAAATTCACTAATTAAAGAAGGTAATTAACAAATCTTGCTTAACTAACCGACTGAACGCTACGATTATCCCCCTATACTATGTCCCCTAGCCGTATTACTCACCTGCACAAACGGCATAAGTGTAAGTTTTGCGGTTATTTTCAAAACTAATCTGTAATGCTTAAAGAGCACTTCGTGCTAAGGATACCTTGAACCATGTCCATCTGATGTTTTTTGGGGGATCGTAAACTTGGACTGCTCGGGGAAAGAAACTAAAACAGTGGCGTCAACTGAAATGCCTTTGCTGCGGCATTAAATTGACACTTTCTTTACACTACTCGACGGGTTTTCAAATAAGAGAGTGCAGTTACCCTTGCAGTAATGTGCGACTGACGTGGTCTTAAGGCTGGTTCTCAAATTTGCGTTCGGTTGTTATCTAATGCGTTGACTCATTTTGTTCCACGGTACGCGTTGCGCAGACGTGATACTGGGTTGGGTCAGTTTTGCAAGTAACATTTGAACATTTACGATCGTGCAACCAAAATCTCGGTTACACTCCACCTTCGCAATTAGCCTTCGTCAGATTGCGTACCTCAGCCGAAATTAAAACCCGCCTATGAGTTTTTTTTGTTTTTACAGAAATACCAAACGCTTTAAATGATAAAATTATATTCGCATCAAACAACGTGCACATGAAGATTTTTTTTTTCTCCAAAGAGTTCAAGCCTGCCCAAACGGTGTACCTACTCAGGGGGGTGAAATAAGGCCGCATGCACACTTATTACACCACCTGCAGTTTCAGTAAAATACAGCCTCTCGGGTAGCGCATCTACTTCAGCAATAGTAAGCTTCAGAATCTAGTAAAAAATATGGCATGTAGGCCCAGGATTATGAAATAATCAATAAAGATTTCAACGTGTTTTTCGACAGGAAAAAACCTAATTCCGTGTGGTGTCGTCGTAAGGTTGTTTGTTTAGTAGTTTGCTTGAGGACATCCTAGAAAAAAAGAAATGCGTCCCTGCATTATAAATATATGCGTTTCAGGGCTTAATGTGAGCGGCGTTCATATATTTCTCCTATGAAGGACGTTTTCGCAGGAAATATACCCGTGTGCAGTTTAAAGAAAGATGCAGCTATGGCAAGTGAAATCGACATATTTTTAACACGTAGTGTAACGTCATTCCCTCAGCCCACATGCAACGCTGAACTGTACCCCGGAGAACGACACACGGTTTCAATAAGTTCTCGAATTAATCACTTTTATTTGGCGCTTGACAAATACACCAGACAAAAACGTACAGACAAAAAAATGAAATGCATCAATTACTTCGCGAAGAAGGCTACCTATCCTGCTTTGCTTACGACAGTACGAAGAAACAACGAACGAAAAATTCTCTACTGGTAACCTGGTCTCGATTACAGCGCGCAGAAAGAAGATGGTTTGACCAAAATAATAATAATAATGTTGAGTATGTTTATACAGCCGGAAGTTAGTAAGCTTCAATGGTATTCTGGTGTCTCAGCTGTAGAAGATGAATCTGGCCAGCGGAATACAGCCGCTAGTCTGGGGTATTTAACGTACGCAGTATTGAAGCACCACCGCACGCAGGTACGGTGCTCATCCTGATCGAAGACGGTAGGGGTGGAGATTGAACCGAGGATTCTTAGGTTTAGCAGCGCGAGCTTTCGCTCCACGTGCTCCCAGCTGGTGTGTGTATGATAAAAATATGCGAAAAAGGCCCTCCTTTTCTGACGCACTAAGATGAAGTTCCGGGGCAAAATATTTTCCACCCCGAACTCCAGATATAAAGAGGAAAGTGCCGCTGCAGCTTTTGTAAATTCACTGTGGTGCACGTTAGCACTTAAAACATATCGGAAGACCTAACATTTAAAAGGACGCTACAAGCAGTAGCGCGCCAAAATATTGAGAAATCGTACCTCCCCCGTTTTTCTGGACAACAGTGGACTACTAAACATTTGGTCCTCTACTGCTCAGCAATGGAACTCCCAAATAATCAGTTTGCGTTGGCGTAAAAGTGATACCGTTGAAAATATTAGTTTTCAATGGTTTTCAATGGCAAAGACGACAACACTTTTCCCATTTGACAGCCGCACTTGATAGCTCATAAAATGATTTCAGTTTCTTCGCCACTTCTGAAATGCTTGCCTAATCCTTATAAATTAAGGCTTCGACGTCTGAATGTGCGACCAGTTTGATCTCTCTCTGCTTTGAAGCTTGAATCTGTCTATACATTGTTCTTAATAGCATTTTTACGAAAAGCCTCTAAAAAACTGCTAAACAGTAGAGGCGATATTGCGGAGCCTTGTTTCCCGGCAAGCAATACATCATTGCGCGTTTTGTACCTCCGTTAATTTGGGCGGTTCATCCGGTGTCTGCCATTTGAACAAAACACGTAATGAATTCGCCCACATTTACACGTTTTACTATTTTATACCATACACAGTGTTGTACGCGATTGAAGGGGAGATTGACGAAAGTGTTGTAAGCGATTAAATGTTTTGTTTTATGCAATACACAGTGCGTACGATGCTCCTACTGTATAAGTTGTCTTTTGGAAATTATCCGCATGCTTGTGCCTGACCAATGTCAAGGTCCCGAGAACAAGTCAAGCTGCCTACGGCAGCTTTTTTTTTTTTTTTTTTTTTTCCTTTTTGGGCACCCATTGTGATCGATGTAAATAAATAAAGTTATTGTTAAAGTGAATTTTAAAGTTAAAGGTCTGAAGCAATGCCACTCTATCAAGATACTCTTCACACAAATCTAATATACATTTTGCCAGTAAATGTTTGTTACAGTACACCTTGCTTTAATGGATCAGGCCTGGTGCTCTCCGATTATTTCACAAATAACCTCCTGTAATATTCTGGCGAGAATTTGATTCCATTCTTTATGATCCACTTTACTGGTCGCTATTGGTCGATAGGTCTTTATAGTTTTGTATCATTTCATTATCACCGACACTTGATATAAGCACGCTTTTATTTATAAATGAGGTTGGCAGTTTGACTTGCGTGCTTTAAGTACCACCGGATGAAGGAACCAGACCGTGACGTTTTTGCAATTCTAATATATTTCCGCAGTCAAATATTTGGGTCCTGGAGACCGTTTAGTCGGAAAATTAACGATTGCGCGTGAAATTTCGGCCACGCCTAATGACTCTTTTATCCTCTCCTTCATCTCGTCATAAAGAATACGCATAACCGCCAGATACTCTTGAAGCTTTGCGACATTCTCATGTCCCTTCCCCTGGAAGCGATTGGTGTAGCATTCAACGGATGCTCTCTAAATGACTTCGTAAACGCTACTCGAATGACCAATGCATTTTGTTTTTCAGTTTCAAGTTTTCTTCTCTTTACATGTCTAGACTGAGACCTTAATGGTTTCTAGTGAGACGCTCATCGAAAGTGTATCTTTCGGTACAAGCGCGTGCCAAGTCACCTCTATAGACCTTTTTTTTGGTGCTGGCCATCATGTTTAATTTTGATGTAGCTGAGTTGGGGCTATGCAGCAAATCACTTTATGTGCCGAAGGAAAGGCGCAAGATATCTAAGGGTTTGTGCCAATAGTTATACTTTTTGTTGGCGATACGTTTTTATTGTTGTTATGCATAAAACGTTTACTCTCGGTTTCGTTGTCCAACCCAACTACGTCTTATTTTACCATGACAATCGTCACACAAAAACGGTCTACATTTCTATGCTTTCTGTACGTGATATTGCCACGCGCGCAACTGGCCAAGTAGACAGCGCGGCCGTGGACTAACGGTTATCGTGCTTGCCTCCCACGAAGAGCGAGGGTTCGATTCCTGGGAGTTACTCGTATTGTATTTATTCTTTCAGCTTAATGTTCTGGTGAATTCAAGAACATTGTTGCTTATTCCAGGTCCGAATGTTCTACGCGTCGAAACTTCTACGCCGATTATTCCAGAAGCCCACGGGTGTACATAAGGGGCTTCGCGTGGTGAGCCAAAGCCAGTCTCGCCCAAGCGCTCGATCCTGCTGTTTCGCCGACATCGACGCCTGCGACGCTAGCCTTTCCCTGTTTTTGTTTTGGGCACAAGTTCGCCCCATCAGACGTTTAGTTACTTCAGTTATTCGCCGCCTCATCATTGGTCATTCGTGACAATATTGTTCTTTACTAAACTAATGTCGTTCACTAACCTACCCCGATATTCGCATTCAAATTTACGGACTGTCTCAAAATCTTCCAGAAAAGAGATTATCGTCGATTCTCTTCCAGTAAACGAACCCACTGGAGCGCTCGAACGCTCGAAGTTTTAACGAGCATTATGACGATTGTTTAATTTTTTCAGGTGCGCTTCCATCGCCCTCCTGTGTCATACTGATCAGTTTCTGTACTGTTTCATCGTGAACCTCATGCTCCAAAATGCTGTTTTTAAACTTTCACACATCCCAGTAAAAAGTTGGACTTTTTAAGTTGCCCACTAATAATAAAGGAAGCTACAGCGTTATAAAAAAGAGAACATATCGTATTTCTCATGCCCAGTCAATATTTCGATCGACACGTAAATTCTTTCAAGATGAGAATCACTCGTTTAATGGAAATATGTAAAGCGCAAACTTGCACTGACTTTTTGATTGTTCACCGCATCATGAATACAAAATATGATGTCATTTGTTTTAAATATTTTGCGTAACTATCATACTGCTCAATATTGATGGCCCTAACAGTCGCTTTGTAAACGCAATTAAAGTCACCCAACAGTTCGACTTTCTTTCACATTCTAAGTAAGGCAGAATACTCCCAAGAAACACTTTTCTATTATTATTATCATTCTTCGCATACACGTTAATAATAATATTATTTACATTGCTTACGTTACAGTCACAAATAATTATATTATAACTGTCTGATGAAACGCTTCCCACACTCGTATTTCCCAATTTTCTTAAAAACGTAAACTTCCTTTGTTCATTCCAGTAAACCCAGGGAACACAGAATATGTCGTTCGTGCATTAGCGTCACGTTACATTTTGTAATGCTCGGTTACCGGAAGCTATGGGTGGATTCGGACGCGCTGCATTCAAAACACATCGTGTTCCCCGGGTTCGTCAAATATCAAGGCAAGTTTCATCTTTTTCAGGAGTGCAGTAACTCGTGGGCATCCTTTGACGAGGAGCTTTTTTATACGTTCTGCTTTTTTTTGTGGGTGCGTGTAGGTATAAATTATTTGTGCTCTTGGTTTTCAAGAAACGTCTTGTCGTAACTGAAGTAATGGCGAAGGCAGGAGGTTTATCGTGCACTTTACGGTATCCATTGACTGTTGTCTGAAGTAGTGACGCTACATGCGACCTGCTCTACCCCTTGGTACTAAGATAAAACAGCGCACAAAACGTCGGAGGAAGTGAAAAGTAGGAGAACGAAAGAGCACTGACTCCCAACTAATTTATTTATAAAGAGGAGAAAAGGAGGTAGAAGAAGCCACGGAAATACAACTCCTCGTGAAGTGAAGAAAATATAAATGAAAGAAAAAAGGGAAGAAAATATGTACATACATAATAGAAAAATAATAAAAGCAAACGAAAATAATATAAGAGAGAACTAAAGTAAAAAGAAAAGAGAAAAAAGTAGAAAACGTCACTTTCACGCCTGGCCGGCCAAAGTTAGTGCGAATAGGTGTTGGTAAAAGAAAACACCTGCTTAGCACTCAGCGACAGGGACGAATGACTGACGCATTGGTGTCCTTTTTTCTGAATTTGAAAGGCCTCGTAGATCTCTCGATTAGTCCTGTCTTGAAATCTCCCAAGGACAGTTGTTTCACCAAACGTCGGTGTGCACGGGCAGGAGCGACAATGTGTAGGCAGGTAACCTCCTACTGTGGCTTGAAGTGAATAGAAATGTTCTCTATCCGGTCGTTAAGGCATCGTTTAGTCTGGCCTATGTAGCATTTGCCACACGTCAGAGGGATCTTGTAGACTGCACCGTCTGTGCACGTAAAAAACATGTTCTTGTACTCGAATTCCTACACACTGACTTGGGCATTCCGTCAAATTAAATGAAGATGCAATAAAACTTGATTGAGTTGATTGGATGGGAAATATTTATGTTGCTTACTCCGTAAGAGGGCACTGTAGAAGGGAGGAGTGAAGAGAAGATCGGAAGTGTTGGCGTTGTCACGTGGCATGAGTTTTGTAGCTCATGTGTAATGATGTCACAAGGCTTCGGTTTTCCCACTAAATTGACCAGGGAAACGAAAGCGTCCTGCAAGTCGTGGCGTCAATTGCATATTTTATAAATTTAGCATGAAATACATGAGCGTCTATTTATATGGCATTAGAGGCTTCCCCAAAAAAAATAACTCATGTTGTAAAACAAGTTATCATTCCTAGAGTGGTCAGATGGGCAATCATAGCGTTTGGTTTTCACGTGTAAGGTTTGCGCTAAGCGTCGTAATTGCGTGGTTTGTGCCACGCGCTGTCTTTCAAGAAGGTAAATTTTTCAGGCAAATCTTCACCACATACGGACAATTGCCACACAAACATGTTTTTCTTTAGAGGCGAGTCCATTCATTAATATGTTTACTTCATTGCTTCATGGCGCAGTACACAAAGAGTCAATATTCATTTTGCTAACCTTTAACATTGGTAGAAATATCTGCACCATCTTGATCGGCGAGCTCCAACCTGTTGGAAATTGAATTGAATTAAAGGGTTAGTTTTATGAACTAAAATATATAAACGGCCCTGTTGTGCAAAGGCAATAGTCATTAGGGAGTTTTAGAATAACGTACACAATTTTAGCGTACGCTAGCGCTAAATTTAGCGCTTGTGTTAGCCCACGCGACGTAAGAGAGTTTTAGAATAGCGTTTCTCCGTCGCGACGCAAAAACCCAAACACCTCGGGCTTACAACACTACCAGGATAGTCACAATTTTTGTTTCCCACAAGAAATGCTGTGACTTGAGAAAGAAACAGTTTTTTTTTTTCGGTCCAAAGAACTAGATTTGTTTAAACATGAGAATGCGACGCGAGTGGTCGACCGGTCGTGTCCGCCTGCGTCGCCTCAGCAAGAGAGTTATCGTGTACTGACCTTCGCACATCGTACCTTCGGCAAGAAATGTTCGCGCGTCGCAAGCATCAAGTTGCCGGGGATCGTTGCCAAACCGAGTACAATGTCGTCCCGTATTGAAAATCGCAGTCGCTAGGATGCCACCGACGTCGCACTCACGACGCCGCCAAAGTAGCCGCCGACATAATCCTGGAAGCCGCCATTTTTTTTAACTCTGTTCGTCTTGGCGTCAGCCAACTTCTCATCACGAATCCTCATTGGAGAAGCGCAAAGACTCTTTGCGTACGCACGCTATTTCCGAGAAATAGCGCACGCTGAAATTTCGCACGCAAAGCGCAAAACCTAGTTGGCGTTCGGGTCATGCGCAGTGGCGACGACGCTATTCTTTGCGTACGTAAAGCTTTAGCGTGCGCTATTCTAAAACTCCCTATTATACAAGAATAGAGTTGAATCAAATAATACTGTATAACCTATTCAGCGCAATGTATTTGCACAGTGGCTGTATAGCGCAATTTCGACCAATATTTGTATTATGGTTTATTAAGCTTGGTTAGAAACATTTTTTATTCTTGGTGTACAGGAACGCCACGCTCTTTTACATTCATAACAAAAAAACAATTTGTATTTTTATGTTATTTCTTTTCAACATAAAAAATGCTTACTGATACAGAAACAAATTGCGACACGGATTATTGAAAAAATAGTCAAAATGTGAGCTGAGTGGAGCAGAATAGGAGAGGACTAACTAGGTAGGTAAGATCTTATTGGTAAATAAGTAATCGAATGGATTCTAGGGCCTATAAAAGAGGAAAATAATGAGTAGAGTTTTGTGTTTTCGGTGAAAGCAGATAAAACCAAAACACAAAAATGAGCCACCAAGACGGTTTCAACAAAATGAATCCATAAAAAACAAGTGCGATGTCATTGAATAAAAAAGACCCCAAGTTCATGGGAAGGAAACATTGATCTACAGTTTTCGCTTTGTGTAAATCCGGAACAGGGCGCCACTAAACTCTCCCCTGGGCTGCCTATTTCTTGAGGAAGCACGACTTTTGTCGATTTTATTTCTCTTATCGCTGCCAGGATGTTTTGGAAGCGTTCGAGTTACATGCATATTCTTTTAGGGGTCTATGAATCTCATTCATTAAACTTGTTTTTTAATTTAGGCTCTGATAAGCGGCGATGTTTGTGCGACACCAAATATTGACACAGAAGAACACCGAACATATAAATAATATCCCCGTCCCCTTCCCCAAGCAGAAGAAACACCCGGAATTACGAAGACAATTGAAGACCCTAGTAATAGGGAATCGTTGTAAATTCGAGCGCGTGGGGCTCTCAAGAGGTTTATTTACACGACGAGATCCAGTATGGTAATGTGCATTAACATAAATCTAGAGCATTACTAATAATTCTTCCAGGTGTCACCCCTGCCGAGAGAAGCCGTTAGACACAAGGTTGGAACGGGCGTTGCGGTTTCACGCGAGTCGGGATTTGACCGTGTTGAGAAGCTGCACTCTCGTGAGTAACTATTGAAATTGCTCGGTGTTTTTAGGCTAACGGTTAGTTTTGATGCGGAATGACGAAAATACTTCGCCCTTTATTTTTGTCTTGTGTCGTTTTTAGTCAGTACAATTTAGATTCCGCAACAGCAGGTATAACAAAAACATACGTCAATCAAAGAAACATCATATTACCACGATACCTCGTGAGAAGGTCAGTTTTAACCTTGATCTTAGCGTGACAAAATCTCCCACTCCCCTCTCTTTTTTGGGGGGGCAGTATACAGCTCTGATTGGCGCTTTTTTTAAATAGTTTATATTCATGTCTCCTGTGCGCACTTTACGTGACCTCGGCCAATATGAGTTGCAATATCGAATTTGGCCTTGTGTAGGGGGTGCGATTTTACCAGCCTTAGTATTTTTCTCGATACGAGACTTGTAGCGATAAGGACTCGTAACTAAAGTTTGTCATCAATTTTCTATCCGGACAATACCTTCATTCAAAATCTTACAGGAAATGTACTGATTCAATAAAGGCTGTTCATACTCATATTTATAGCAATCGAACTTCGCTTACGACTGAGTCCATCGTTAAGTCCGTCGAGAATTTTTTTACAAATCATCCTAATATATATAGGGGGACAGCTCGGCACCATACGAATTGAAAGCACAAATCAATATTATGTTTACTCCCAAACATATCTTAAGGAGTAAAATCGCATGTTGGCAGGTCCACGAGGAAGTGCTGCTTCTTTATTTTATTTCATTTTTCAAATTATAAAAATTGCTACAAAAATTGCCAACCAGCTAATAGCACACAGATTAGAATGTATCAAGCGTGTATAGTTAACCAGAATCAAGCGCAATATATGGTTAATAAGCAAACCACTTATCATGCGTTAGGACTGGCTGTGTGCTCCATCAATACGAGAAGTTATATCTCCCACGCCATCAAAGAAATTATATCCTGGCTACTTATTTCCATTTGACCTTTATATTTATGGGGAATCAAAGTATTGCTTGTAAGTTTTAGCATGAACATGTAAAAAAAATACCAGTAGTCCAATCTAAGCTGATGAAACGTTAGAATCTATTGACCCGTTAGGTTTTCCGAGTATTCAAATTGCAATATATATTAACTTGCCAAATATTTAATATATTCGCTGCCTATTAGTTTGTTGTTGCGTATCTTTAAATTAACATTTCGTGCTAAACTAAATAAAGGTCTAAATATTTTGGAATATTTTCAAAATGTTTGAATGCTTTTATGACATTAAAATATTATTATAATGTTATATTCATTATCGTTGATTATAATAATCAATAATTATTATAATCAAAATGCTGTTATGACATTATTATAATATTAGTTGCGATGTGATCATTAATAGCCAAGCTAGCGGCCGGAACTACTCAGACCAAGAAATAAACCAACTCGCATCTATTAAACCTATACGCATTATTTATTTTGCTCCGCGCTACTTTTCAATTACATTTAAATAATCCACATACTTACTTTCTTGGATTCATAATAGTATATTTATCTAGTTTTTTTTTACTAGAAACCATGTGAGACTATATTTCGCTGCGGGCCAACTCATGTTCTATAAGAATAATAATTATTTCTTATATGATTTGCACAATAGAATTATAGAAGTAATTCAAATCACGTAGAATATAGTTTCTATATCATATTATGTTTAGTAGAATTCGCACGGCGCACAAGAAACGAAGGCAAACGAGAACTGGTAACACAGGACAAGGAGTTACTCTCAACTAAAGTTTTTATTCCAAATAAACGCCGAAGTAAAAAGCAACCTTCCACACCATCATGGCCAATTTAGCACGTGTCCAGATAACAGATCTCTTTACTATGTAGAAGGACCGATCTTTGCCTTACACATTGCCCAGTCCCTTCTTTTTTTGGTCGTGTAGGCCTCTAAAATGTCTCTAGTCATCTGATCTCCCCCTGTTCGAGCAATCGTGACGTGATGGAAGTTGGGTTGGCGTCAACAATCTGCACAATGAAGCAGCGTCATTTTCCGCTTGACTGTACAGTCTGTGGATGCCAGCCCAACTTCCATCACGTCAGGATTGCAGGAAGGGGGGGGGAGATGAAATGACTAGGGAAATTTTAGTAGTCTGGGCAATCAAAAAAGCAGGGACTGGGCAATGTGTAAGGCAAAGATCGGTCCCACATAACAAAGAGATCTGTCATCTGGACATGTGCTAAATTGGTCATGATGGCGTGAAATGCTGTTGTTTACTTTGGTGTTTATTCTCAATAAAATCTTCAGCTGAAAGTAAGCGCTTATTCTGTATACCCCCTTCAACTTCGTTTCTTGTGGGCTGCGTCGAATCTACTATCCATAAGGCAACTAGCCCGCATCGCCACCCTAATTTATATTATGTGTTCGTGCAGATTTCTTTAACATATTCATATATTTTACTAGTTTTCTTACCCTGTGACGAGCATCGCTGCGTCGCACGTGGCGTGCCTGTATTTCATAGCAAACCGGGGTAATGTCTCTTCATATGAGGTATAGATTTTTAATGTATTAGTGGCGTTGCTTGGATCTGAAACTGAAATATGTCGCAGAAAATCTGACCCCTAGAAATAATAAAAGGCGCAATTACATTTAACTCAGACTGCTTTAAAATGTAAGAAATATGGCCATCAAATGACACCCACCAGGTCCTTAGCTATATTTACTATGAGCAGTTGTATTCTTGGGTTTCTTATGCGTCTATATCGGATATTCACCTTAAACAAAAAGGACAGTTCTAATTAAATAATTTTATTTAAAAATTTAACAGAAAGATTTATTTAGCATAAATCTTTTGTTAATATTGGAAGATAAGTCACGAGCGAACACTGGACCCGCATACTTAGTATACGCAGTATGTTTCGCGTGGTAAGGCACCAAGGAATCAATAAACGTGTTTGCCCTTTTCGGTTTAACATTCACTACCTTCGATCGGTTAGTAAATCAAAGTGTTCACATTTATTATTGCTAGTTAATAACTGAGTCTTCAGAGTGCCTTGCTTTTCTTCAAAAGCGATCCATCGTTCATACTCCTGCAGAGGTCGGAGACATGGGCGGTTCGTTTAGAACTACACTCGCGTTTTAAGCGACTACAAACGTTTCCAGTACTGGCAGTACAAATGTAATAAATAGAAAAATAATGTGCCAGACAGAATTTGTAGTTTATATTTTTTAACCCAATTATAATCAGTACAGTTTTAAACTTTTTCGCTGTCATATGGGCCATGAGGATATCACAACATTTTTGTACTGACAAGTCATTGCCCTTTTTGGTTTCATTGAAAAAATGCCCATCAAGACTACCATAGTGATGCATAGACCTATAGTAATTGAACTGATCTATACGAATTGGGGTTCACAATATAATACCTGAGTAAATAGAGAAAAAAAACATCTATGTAGTCGTCGCCTAAACACTGGTGAGCGGTGTACAATCTGCGGCAATGTGAGCTGACCCAATTCAGTGTTTGCCCAATCAAACAAAGTCCTCTCTGGGGTGCCTCCGGAATACTAAATTATGAAGCAGACTTCAACACTGAAACAATAGAGCGGATGGTTGTTCATTCGAATATGCTTTTTAACACCTTAAAAAAAATATGGGCACCCCACATGACTTTTGTTCCACCCCGGACTGAACGACGCCGGCAAGATGATTTTGCCGCACTCTGTTCATTGAGCTTAATCATACATTGACTCTCAGGTAGAAAACTTGAATGGGAACCTAAATTGGAAAATAAAACAGAACGCAGAGTACATACCGCTGCCAAAGAAGTGGCGATATATGTTACAAACTGTTCATCGTCGCCAAAGTTTTGGTAAATGTACTTGTCGGCGACAACCAGTGTCTCAATCAAAAATGGGTCTGGAACTTGTACTTGTCTCGGACGGACTGTAAAAGTAAACTTTGAAATGAGTGATACCAAATGTTGTATACACGATTGTCACTCCTAAAGCGCAAACTGCAGATAGTTAAACTGGGCCAGACAAGTCAGTTTGAAGTACTATGTTCATCTGCGGAAATCAGAAACACAGCGTATTTTTCTTTTATGCTATGCTTGGCGCTGCTTCGATTTCTGAAAGACTAAAATATAGTAGGTTGCACCACCGCGTTTAGAAAGATCAGTGTATAAACAAAGTGCTTAGAAAGCTGGTTACAGTTTTATGTGTTTATCTTAATATTTCTTTCGATGATATAGTTTTTATTATTAGTTACCTGGTAAATATATCTACTGGTTTCGCTGTACTCGTTTGTGAATGCGTAGAATCGTAAATTTGAGACTTCTACGCATCAAGTGTTGGAATATACAGGATATCCAATATATGTATCAAGCTTTTTTTTTTCGAAACATACGTATATATTTTATTTTTATGCAGAATTCTTCTTTTTTAAATGACTTTCCTTCCGACGGAAATCGCATAACACTATCTACTTTGAAGCAACATACATTTGTATACAACCTTCATTCCGAAGTTGGTAGCATTGTAAGTAGTGTTCGCGAAATTAAAAAAAAAAATCAAGTCTTCGTTTAACATCTTTAATGCGACAGCGGCACGCACATATGTAGGGATATATCAATAATAAAAATTGCTTTACATTGTTTAGTCTTTTTAGATAATGATACTTTCTAATTTAGCATACAACAAGCACATTTAGACCCTATTAAGTGTAACATTCTATGTCCTAGAGAGTCATTTATTACTTCATAAAATTAACTTACTTAAATGATGTCCATTAAATCGCTCTTCCAGCTGAATGTTACTTGTTTCTGAAACATGTGGGGAAATTATTTTGTTAATATGAACCCTAGATGGTTACAACAAATTACTATGGCTGGGAACTTGATAGATTAACCTACCGATTAATGAAATATTGTTGTAATCGTGAATAATCTTTTCTAACTGGTTAATCGGTTATATTATGAGAAACATCAAAAGTATAAATTGATCGCTTTCAATACGGAGACATGGTCGAGTGCACCAGTGGCAAGGCAAACTTTACGTGAAGCTTTGTACTAAAGCGAATATTACGGGCGAGAATGGTAGCTTTAATCAAGTGGAGAAGGCTAACGTGAACCAGCCACTTTAACGCCGCGCGAGTGTCCGTTTAGTGCAGCAGGGACTATTGTGAACAACCAAAGGATCTCGCTATTGACGAAGAATATCAACGAATCTCTTTGAATCTGCGGCGGAATTAATAATCTGTTAGTATAGCTGCCTTCTGACTGTTTCCACATACACGTCAAGGTTGATCCAAAGTCCAAAATCAGTTCATTGCGCTGTTTATCACATATTCAGCAAAGGTTAAGCAAAAATTTAATTTTTTTATTTCCTTTGATTATTATTCACGGCAATAAAGAAAGCAATTAATCGACTAAAATTATGCAAATGAAGGGTGGCGATTAATCTGGTAAAACATCTAAACGACGCCTGGTCCTATAAAAGACTAAATGTCCGATTAGGTGCTTGTAGCTTTGTGCTCTCTTTCTCCTTTTTCTCTAGCTCATGGGTCACCATGCCAGTATTGATTGAGCTTGCAGCCACATTGGCTTGTTTCAATATGTGATAGATAATTACTACTCAGGTATTTATTATTCACTTTTTATAATATTTTCGACGACATTTGTGCGCATAGAGATAATGTAATATATTAGGCATGTAGTATTTAGTATCACAGCCACGCAGTTTTTATAATATTCATTGAGACTGGTGAAATGCATATGCATTTATGTTATCAAAAATTGCTGCTTTACGAAAAGTAAGTATTTGCACAACATCTTGGGAAAACGCCTGGTCTAGTGCCTTTTTTGTCAACCTAGGCTTTATGAATTAATAGGGCGGGGCGGGGGAGTGCATAGACAAAGGGCAGTTTGGAATTTGTTCTGCATTTTAATCTTAACTTTTATGACTGTTTGGTTTTCTGGTTCGACTTTATTTACCCTTAAGGCTGAGCCGCACGTAAGCGATTTAGCGAGCGACGAGACGAGCGACGAGGGTCAGCGACGAGACACGGAGATTTCTCACTGTCGCTCGTCGCGGGGCTCGGTTTCTGGATTTCTAGAAAACATCGTTCATCGCCTTGGTCACTTCCTCCCGTTGCCTTCATGCGGTTTGCCTTGTCTCGCGACTGACCGAGCGACAGCGAAGGGGGTCACCCCCGTTTGCCTCGTCGCTTGCCAAATAACTTACATGTGGTTTATACTTTATACACTTCTCAGGTGTAAAGTGACGCCAACAATAAGGATGCAAAATACATGTCGAAAGAGCTCTTTTCTCTTGAAATGATCCGAATATTTGTATTGTAGATCTCGCATACCTGGACATTTTTATCAGGTTGTTGAAAACGGTTGCTGCAGTTGATTATGACGATGTATGAAAAGTTACTCGTTCCTTCAGGGCTGTCTCATTGATATGTTCTTGGGCCGCTGCTACTAATTTTATATATTAGTAACATGGGTCAACGATGTTTGGTGGATATCAAAATTAAACGTTTTTCCTGGTGGTGCAGTTAGTGGTGTGTTCGAAAGTACCAGAGAAAAATTAGGTGTCCGGAACATTGCTTAGACAAACAGCCTATTCTCTATTTTATTGACTGGCTCGAAGGTCACCTCGACCTGGCGATAGCCCGGCGCTGCGCAGCTCGAATTCTTTTTGTTTAGGCACAGTGAGCTCAGTGTATTTTACAGCCTGTGTGACTCTGACACCAAAGTGAATAGGAGGGCTAGTCGCCTTATAGTCTTTAAAAAAATAATAGCTCCGAAAACACAAACAACACTGAAGACGAAGTGAACAAACACCAGGCGCCTTGTGCTTGTTCACTTCGTCTTCGCCCTCGTCTGTGTTTTTAGTTCTATTACTTTTTTAAAGACCGTGACACGTTTGGCTCTACTACAACAAAAATAAATATTCAGAGATATAGAATAAGATGCTCAGAAGAAAATATATGATCGTTTACAGAAGTTGACAAACTCGTGGGACGAATGGCAAGCTGAAATTAGCCAAAATACTTGTGTATATGATAACAGAACGCGAAACAAAGTAGCAGCACTGTTAACCTATATTGCTGGGAGAGGCCGTCAAAACATTGACAGGAGTACAAATACCTATAGTATGGGGCGATTGGAGAGGGTGGGACGAGGAAAAGAAAGGTGGGAGAGGAGGAAATGGACGCAACGCTGACGAGGGGAGGAGAAAACCCCCTCCCCTCACCAGCGTTGCGTCCGCTTCCTTCTCACCCCCCTCCCTTTCCCCCGCCCCACGTTCTCAACCTCCAACATACTACAGGCGCTTTTTGTAAAGCAAACCTGAACTGGAATTTACACATCAAAAATATTTCCAATAAATCGCTAAAACGGAATTCGGACACGTAGACGGAAGTTAGATTTTCCAGACCTGTGCATCAATTGACACCAAGTAAGTAACTGTTATTGCCACGCACGTCGGCGAGCAAGCGCGTGCGTGGCCGAGTGGTTACCGCGCTTGACTGTCGCGTAGAAGGTGTAGGTCCGATTCCAGTCAGCGGATTTTCATTTTATTTATTCTTTCAAACTTGGCCTTCTCGTAACTTCGAAAACATTCTCGGCCTGATCGTGTTACAATTGTTCTATGCTTGGAAAGTTCTACGCTGAATGATCCAGAAAGCAACGAGGTACATAGGGGACTCCGCAACGCGAGCGGAGTCAGTCTCTCCCCAGCGTTCGACTCTGCTCTTTTGCCGACATAGACGCACACGGCGCTCTGCTGTTATATTGTTTCCTTTCTATTTTTGGGCACAAGTTCGCCCCCCTTTAAACGTTTCAGTTTTCCCAGTTATTCTTTGTTTCACCTTGTCATTCGTGAGAATATTACAAAATATTGAATATAAATGCCCTGTTTGAGAGCTATTCACACGACAAAATATTTACGAAAGAGAACGCACACAAAGTAAAGCTGTCCGATTTATCTTTAATCCCTATCGATCCACAGACTTTGTCTTCGTAACAAAGTCCGATGCGAACCTTCTGCAAATAAGTACCAGTATAATGTTCAGCAGAATAAAGGTAAATTTCTACAAGGTTATTACTTCATTGACATTCATAAATATTTCGCATATACAGACTTCAACAACCCAACTAAACAAAATATAATATTTTTTTTTCGCACCGTATCGCTACAATACTGACTCGGTTAAAATATTGGTTTGATATGTCGATCAATGGAACTGAGTAACTACGAATGCTGTAAATAGTCAGAGTGTGCGTGGCTTTTTATAACTCTTTTACACTTAGCTGTGCTTGTTCTTTCTAAAAGGCCTACAAACCTGCTTTGGTCTTGCGGCTTGCAGTATGGTAATATATACACATAAAATAAATCTGATTGGTATATTCAACGTTGGCTTCCTGAGCTATGCTGAGACTATTCATTCCTGCACTAGAATAAATTAAATGTTGAATAGCTTTATAAAAGATAATCTCACATATTTATGTGCCGGTCCCTAAGCGTACTTTCGTTTAGTCATCCTCCTTCCGAAAAGGCCCCCGGTGACCATTCTCCGACGAACTTCCTCAGAGTAGATAAAACTGAATTTAGTTAAGCTCTTACAAACCTGAATTTTCGTGCTTAGTATCAAACGGGCGATTTTGTGTTTCGACTGGTGAAAATAAACGAATGCCATATTTTCTCTAAGCCTGCTACACTATTAAGAAAACCAATTATTTATGTAGCTGAAGCACTCAGCTCTCCTGGGAAAAATGGAGCCTCTATTTTTTAGACGTTGCGGTGACGTGCGAGACGCATCATAAGAAAAATAAGCTGATTTCGTATCACAGATTATGCCACTGCATAAAAAAAATATGATAATATTATAATAATATTCCTGTTTAGGTGTTCAAAAACAACCAAAGATGGTATTCACTTTGGCATCATCGTCAACAGCTAATAGAAAAAAAAAACATTAAAAAAAGAAGGGACTTTAACCAAGCAACGAATAAAACAAATTAAGAGGCAGATAAGTGCTCATTCAATCTGCAGCGGGACAATGTTGTTGATAACGAAATGTCCAGTGGAGGTTAACCGGTGGTTTTATACCATGGCAGGATCCGAGGAAGTGGTGAAGTTTTACACCGCGAGTGAACATAAAAACTAACAAAATGTCTCGTTACACGTGAAGGAACATAAAGATTAACTTTCCCCAGAGGTTGGGCACAATAATTGCCCCATTCATAAGTTTATGTAGAAATACAAAGTCACGAACAGTTCTTCTGGAAGACAAAAGTGGAAGTGAAATTTTTTTAATATATATTAGCATTTATAAAGCGGCGCTCAAAGAATCTATCATACAATTCGAAAAACATTTTTCTGAAGATTTTTTATGCTCATAGCCTGCGCTTTAGATATCGAGTTTTATGAGACAGACGCAAATTAAAGTAATGACCATACTAAATAATTAAAATACACATAAAAGAGTGGGGTTTTAATAATGCTTCGTCAATCGAGATACTATTCATAGCATTTTATAGGCATTGCACGCGATAAAAGATATTTGGTTTATAAACGTTTAACCCCTATCAACACACGCGCCAATAAAATTTTATAATTGACACCTGCTGTATTGGTCTTCCCCGTCACGATTCCATGTAAAATAAACAACAGTATGCCGTCGGCAAAAAGGTAACACCTTTGTTGTTTGGAGGTAGAGAGACAGTTGATTTAGCTTACACCACTAGTGAATTAAAGACGCCATTTTGTAGTATATTACAGTTTTAAATAGTGCAAAGGCTCATGAATAACGTAATATCAGCAGCAAAAAGTAGCAGTTTATAATTACTTACACAATACTCTATATTACTAATAAATATCCAAATCCAAAGGCGGCCCATTATTTATTCCTCTGGAACATCCGATGTCGAACAAAATAAGTCGGAGAGACTGTCAGCGACTCCAACAGTCTTCGAAATTTTAGGACCTAATATCAATTCATGACTAACTCTTTCGTACACTTTCGACATATCAAAATATATTGTATATACCTTTCTTCTATTTAAAATAGGCGCAGCATAATCTAAAAAATTACACACTACGTCATCCTGTGTATTCCGGTACACTTTTTGGCTAATTCGAAAGAAGCAGGAATTTTATTTCATCTGAATTAGTATTGGCCGCCCAAACAAAAAGAGAAAAGAGAAGGGTCAGGAGCGTTTATTTCGAATTTTAGGAACGTCACGTTTGTTATACATTTTACTACGAATATCAAAGACTCGTTGACAAACAATGTTAGAGTGCTTGGACTTCTCGGCGCTGCGAACCAGCTTTTTTTTTTTTTGCATAAATGCTTTAAAGGGATAATTGAATTTCCTGATCTAACGTTATCTTTTAACATTCGTGTTTCGAGATGAGCTTTCGAAGCTCTGTGACGTTTGATGAGAATCAAGGTATCTATACCAGCCTCATATCTCTCATTCAAGTCTTGTATAATAACCGTGCTGTAGCAGAGTTTGATATTGTTGACCCATGTTTTATTGTGTTTAAATCGTTCTTTGCTAGTACCTAATACACAAGCTGTACATTAAAATTATTAAATGAATGACTGAAATAAAAATCGTCTCTTTCGGTGACATTGAGGCGTACCTTTCTTATGTACAGTCTGTTCGCGAAACGACTGTATTGAAACGCTTTCGCAATTTAGACTTACAAGTAAATGCTCCAGACACACGTTGTCATTCAATTGGACGCACACACGAAAACACATCACTGTAGTGATATATTTTGTAAATCTTGAATATACTTAAAACAACAAAATGTACATGAATCGACATTTTCTGCCTCATTTATCTGGCGGTTAGTACGTCAAATATATATACAATTTAGTGGGTCGACCTACTCTATTATACCGGAGGCTATAATTGTTTTAAATGGAGCGCTTAGCAGTGCGAAGAATATTTTTAATCAGTATTACCACGTTTTAGGCAGTTTTTTTAATTGTGTGCTAACTTCCTAAACAATCTGCGTTGCATAACGCAAATGCGTAAACGAGACCTTATCATGCACTTTTTGGTGCAGGCATAATTATTTACTAAACGACATATCTAAATTGTTTTCGCTGCGTACCTAAAATAACGGTCGTTTAATACTTAACTTGAAGCTTCATGCCAACGTACTAGAGTTGCTGTCCTTAACGACATAAGCGAGTCTTAACAGACTTGTACTAAGCATTACTAGACTACCACAAAATCCCAGTGTGCTGTGTATGTGAATCCTAGACACGCGAAAGGTGAAAAGATAGTTGCTCAAGAACTCAAAGAAAGATGGTTTGGTGGCGTCGCCTTTGGGTCCTTCACTGCTTCTGGACATCCAGAACTTGCTCGAAATGGTTGTGATCATGTCAACTATTGTTTAAAAAAACAAGATATCGCACGGAGTGTTTCAGAATTCCAGTTGAAGCTAGAAATCATGGGACGGTTTTGGTCACAATATATCGTAGATTGTTTAAGTCAAAGCCCGACGTAAGGTAAGTACGTTGTAATTAAGTCTTTTCACTAGACCAAGTACTCAAAATACCATATTAGTGCAGATATGGTAATTTTATTTTATGCACGCATAATTCAGTGGGTGTTTAATTATCTTTGTCACTTGACAGTGACCTAACCGATAAAATGTCAAAGTGCAAAAAAAAAGCATGTTAAACACATTTATATTTATCACATGCACCCAAAGATATTTGCAGTACATATGTTAAAATTGATTCGGCACATTACCGACATAGTCATGTCCACGGTGAGCTGGAGCATCCACTTGGAAAATCTTGTGTGCGATGGACCCGTCTTCAGCTCGAGCCATAAGGTGAAGAGGAAGTATCCTCAGAGTGTCGCTGATGACACCACTCTGGAAAAAGAATTAGGCTAATAGATATTGCGTTTAGTTTTGCTCCATAAAGCGTCTCAAATGATACAAAATGTAAAAAAAAAACTACCTTATGATTGACCAAAATAAAATTAAGCGTTTTTCTTCAAAGTTGGTAACATTTTAGCGATAATCATAAGGGTACCATTACTTGAAAGGGTAAAACATAGGGCGGGGACGAAAACCGGACTTCTTTCAGAATCCTGTTTTCGTCCCGGTCTTAGATGTTTCATCCTTTCAAGTGTTCGTAACTATTCACCAACACGCTCGTTTTCAATCATCCTTCGGGTGTTAGGTTGATGGTTGCCCTACGATGGGCGTTCCAGACGCACTCAAATACCACTTACTCTGCAAGCTCAAAGAGGACTTTTTCAACTACTTGGTGAGTTCAAGAATTAAAAGAAATAGTGAAAGTATACCTATCAAGAGAGTTTCATTTACTTCGTTGAAGCAGAAATATCTGAAATAAATTATTAATGGCGAACAATACCCAATAATATTGAAAAAAATATTAGGCTTCATTTAATTATTTATTATACATTGGTGCAGTCGTTTAAAAGACCCATAAATAGTGAAAAATACAAAATGGTAACTTACATAGCATATGTTGTCTATCGCACATAAAAGCACTTAAAAAAGGCAAACACAAGAGGCAGGTGATAGGTCGGTGTTCAAACACGTAGTTCCTTCTAAGAGCGCACGGATACATTCGTTAGCAGGGTTTTCTCTTCGAGGAACATACGTAGGGCATTCTCGAGTTTAAATTAGGCGCTAGAGGAAGAATGGTGCCGGGAAGTACATTTAAAAAAATCTATAAACTGAACAAACCATGATTACCTATCGATATTTATACAAACATTATTAGCAGTCCTCACTAACATGTGATGTACAATGCACTGAAAGACATAGCTTTCCGACTTCCTTTCTGCGGTTAAATGTACAATCCATGACGCTGTTAGCACGAACCAGCCATCGCCGTGTTTTTTCTAGACTTAGGCTTGAAGAACTGTCAATAAAACTATAGTTCTAGAAAACAACGGCTACTCTAAGCGTTTCATCAACAGGATCCACAAGAAGCTACGCCGCCCCATATGTGCAAGCTCCCGGCTCCATCCAGCCGTGTCTGCCTGTCGTACGTGAGGTTAGTCAGGGGAGACCATCGGATGTGTCCTTTGTAAACATAGGATCGCGGCGACTCACGAGCCGGTTTCCACCATCCGTCACTGACTCCATCTCCCCAAAGAAGAGACAGGTAAAGGAGATGTCTCAAGGAATCGTATAGAGCATCTCGTACGGGGACTGCCCTGCTATCCTAGATGGAGGAAACCAGATATTTCCCGGAACCGCCAGAAATACGGTGTGAAAAAATCTACGTTCAGGGTAAGTGCCCTCGCCGAACACGAATAGGAATCAGGTCATTGCGAGTCTTTCGACAAAAGCGAGATCCCCTGCATAGGGCGGCACTGGCGGAAACGTCTGCACCTGGAATCCTGCTCCACCCAGGCAACAAAAGCAAACATTAACAGGTCTTCGGAAACTCTCCGAGGCATGTACGTCTTAGGGCTCTGCCACATCACCAAAAAAAACCAGGATTCAGCCAGCCTACGTCAGCAGCACTTTTTCTGTCCACCTGACGGTCACCCGTGAAAAAGGAACCAATATGGTCCAAAAACGTCGGGAATTTTCTTTTTCTTAAAACTGTGGTTAAAGTTTTTATTCTTCGTCAACGTACTTCGTTATAGCAGCAAATCTGGGACTAAGAACACATATCTTCGCCCGCTAACGGAAGCAATACTGGTTATATATATATATATATATATATATATATATATATATATATATATATATATATATATATATATATATATATAAAAGTAGATGCCACCGAAGGGTCAAACAAACTTGGACGATTTAATTGAACATGTATAATTCATACATAAACCGCGACGTTTCGAAGGGGGACCCTTCTTCCTCAAGCGGGACTTGAAAAGTGAGACCTCAAATGTCGAGTGAAATACAGCAGAAGCAAGAAAAACAAAAAAAGCCAAACATACATAGAATACAAAAATTAAAAAAAAAAAATTCAAACAGCAAACGCAAAACATGGACAAGACCAGTGGCGGCCTCCTCTGTGAGCTCGCCCAAAGCACACTATCCTAACTCTCCGTGACCGGCGATAAGCCCTCCACCCAACCACACACCCACGACCATGTAAGGCACGCAGGGCGCAAAGGCGGGCGGCCCGAACCGGGCACACACGTGATTGCCCGCCGCGGGCCAACTCCGGACAGCGATCGTCCCGTCGCGGTCCCCTCCAGTTAAGTCTCGTCAAGGGCGCCCACGATCACCCGGTGCATTGCACCCGGAATATGAAGATTGACGGGCATGAAATTAGAAATTTTAAGAGAGAATGTAAAGGCGACCAACTCGTCGCAGAAAAACAACTGTCCGGTATCGGCAAGCGCCAAGCCGCGCCGCACTGCCCCGAGGAGGCGCCGCGTCGTTGGCTGACAGAACCGGCGTTCCCAGAGACAAAGCGGCGAGTCCCGCCGCAAACGGCCCAGACGCCATCCTGGACAATAGGGCACCACTATTACGCTCGGAAGTCGACCAAATATCAATCGAAGTGTCAAATAAATTTTCGCACAACACATTCACAACAGCTGAACACAACTGGGTATCCCAGGACTTTCGTTAATTTAACATTTTATAGCATCAAACTTATTGATCAGGTGGGCTTCTTTCAGTTCGCGTTCTAGATTTGATTTAAAGCCAGATTGAAGCAGCGTAACAGAAAGTTTATCGAATGAGTGGTTTGGTAGTGTTAGATGTTTGGAAAGTGGAAGACTGGGCACTTTGGTGGAGTGGGATCTGTGATTATTAAACCTTTCATTGAATGCTCTCACGGTTTGTCCTACGTACTGCATCTTACACACCTGACACTCGAGAAGGTAGACAACATTCGGACTGCAGCACCGGAGATCTCCGTAGATTTTCATGCTAAAGTTTGATTTCGTACTCCTGGCAGTATCAGTCGTCACCATGTGGGGGCACACCTTGCACTTGGGTTTCCCACATGGGCTACACCCCGAAGACTGGGCGCGCGTTGTGCGCGAATGTACTAGGGTGTCTCTCAAATTTTTTGAACGTCGGTATACTACGCGGGGAGGTGATGAGATTATTTGTTTCAATCGTTCACTCTGTTCAATTATGTTGAAATGTTTGCTAAGTATTTTGTTGACGTTGGGAGCGTTATTGTTAAATGTCATGACCAGGTTGGTCTGCCGATGGTCACCAGTTACCTTGACGTGATCGGTCAAAGTATCTTCGCGGTCAAGTGTTCTGGCTTTATCAATGGCGTCTTCAATCACGCCAGCTGGGTACCTTTGCTGCATGAGCACCCCTCGGAGATCGGCGACATTTCGTTCAAATTCTTGTTTTTCTGAACAGATGCGTCGAAACCTGTGGGCCTGACTGTACGGAATGCTGTTTTTACAATGTCGCGGATGAGAGCTGTGATAATGCAAGTATTTTTGAGAATCGGTAGGCTTTCGATAAAGACTTGTTTGTAGCTTGTTCCCCTCCACGCTCAAGGTTACATCCAAAAAGTTTATTGAGGTGCGAGAGTATTCATGCGTGAATTTGATGTTCGGATGTGCTCGGTTAAAGCGCTCAATAAAAATGAGCAGTTGCTCTTTGGTATGGGTCCAAATCAGAAAAATGTCATCGATAAACCTTTTGTAAAATATGGGTTTGAGGGGAGACGCTTCAAGAAACTTTGATTCAATGGCGCCCATAAAAATGTTTGCGTAGTTTGGGGCCATTTTTGTACCCATAGCTGTGCCGCTGATTTGGATGTAGTGGCTGTTATTAAATTCAAAACTGTTCAACTCCAGAACCAACCCGGTCAGTGTTGCGACAACGTCTACTTCGGGTGTGTCCACCCGCCTGTTGCTCGCGTTCGCGCTCAAAAGTTTCGCCACGCCATCATCGTGGGGTATGTTCGTATAGAGAGACGAAACATCCAACGTAACCAGAAACGACCCGTCCGGAATAGTGACCCGCGCAACCTCCCTCAGAAAGTGACCTTTGTCTTTTATATAAGAAGGGAATGTGGGTGGGATGTGTTTTATCAAATTGTCTACAAAGCTCGAAAGTGGTTCAGTTAGTGTTCCATTTCCAGAAATAATAGGGCGACCTGGGTTTCCAGTTTTATGAATTTTCGGTAACATATAAAAACGGCCGGTGGTGGGCTGCGTTTGTTTTAAGCCTGCTTGAACTTTCGATGTGATCTTGTTTTGTCTCACCAATGTCGAAAGTGCCTCAGTTACAATTGTTGTATGACGCGAAGTAGGGTCGCATGTAAGATGTTTGTAAAATTTTGAGTCGTTTAGTTGGCGGAGGCCCTCTGCCAAATAATCGTCCGAGTTCATTATAACGATCGTTCCACCTTTATCGGCGGGCTTTATAACAATATCTGTCCTTAAGCTGAGTGATTTGAGGGCATTCCTCTCATGCAAGTTGAGGTTTTGCCTGCCTGGTCTCCTTTGCCTGAATTGCTGCATAATTTCTCGCTGAACAGCGTCAATGTATAGATCGAGGCATCTGTCCCGCCCCTTGCCTGGCGTCCAGCCGCCGGAGGGGCCTGGCATGATCAAATCTCCTGTGGCTTGTGGTTTGTCGGCGAAATATTCCCGAAGCCTCAAATTGCGTGCAAAATAATCAAGGTCACGGAAGACCTGAAATTCGTCGCAATTCCCCGAAGTTGGACAAAAGTTTAGGCCTTTAGAAAGTAGTGTAGATTCGTTAGAAGGTAACGTGATTTCAGACAGATTTACTACACTTTGCACACTTTTTTCCACTTGTGTTTCATTGTTAATGCTAGCAGTACGAGTTGCGGGTGGGGAATATGTTTCAGAAGTAAATGTATGTTCATGCCTGGCCTCTGTGTTCATTCTAAATTTCTCTAAATCATAGTTGAC